ACTCAGAGCAGCTCCTTCTGGGTTAGAGGAGGGGACAGTATGGGCTGAGTGGGTCACTGGCGACAGGGTTAGGATCAGAGGCGACCAGGAGACTGAGAAGGGGTTTCCAAGGAACCTCAGCTGTTATAGAGCTGGATCAAAAGTTTCTGTCTTTTATCTAGTATCTGGAGATAACAAAGAACTACTGCTTTAAACCCTATTTGCAAGTGAGCAGAATGGGAGTTATTAAAATAGAAATAAAAGCAAGTAAAATTTTGTTGGTCAGTAAAAAACAGCTGTAATAATTATAGTAATTTCTATCTAATTACCATGTGGCATAGTGATTATGAGGCATTATTGTGTCCTGTAAATCATATACCAAGATCTTTGTGATTAGGCTACTAAGTTTTAGTCAGTCATGTGTGCTCTGTAGTCAGTTTAAAGCCATTAAAGGTAATTTAGGTTGGCCTGGTCTTGGGGGTTTTTTTGCTTCAGGGAAAATAGGGAGTTAAACAGCAGGTGAACTTGTTACATTTGGTTCTGAGTGAACCAATATAAAGATACTTTACAAAAAAAATTAATGCCATCTTTATTTATTAAAGGGTTCTAAGGAAAAACTCAAAAACACTTTGTAGATTTTAATCTAATTAATCCTCACAATAACCCCGGGAGGGCGTTCTTATACAATAGCCTTCATTGTTTAAAGTTGCAAGTTGTTAGAGACCACAAAAGAGTCACTTTGTCTGCAGTAGCTTCTCTGTCTTCGCTTAATTCATAAATGTTATAATATTCTTTGAAATAAGTCTAGTATAAACATAAACTCTTAGTGTATTAATAATCTCCAATCATCATGAGACAGAATGACCTCACCACTAAGAATTTCTTGGAAATAACCTTACACACCAGCTTAAAGAAATAAAAAAGTTTGTTAGAGGGAAATTTAAAATTATGGATTAATTCTCTATGATAAAGATATTTTCTTATATTAATCCATGTGGATTTACAGGACTCCTGCTATGAGTATGATGTCAGGTGCTATGGACACAAAAACAGCTTAGGATAGAAATGAAGTAATCATAACAGTAATGTGTGTGCCAGTGATCTAGAAATCTAAGTAAGTCAGAGCATGTTGTTAATAAACCAAGGACTGGAGTTTAGCAATCCTAAGAAGGGGCAAATACAAGCGGAGGATTCTTGATGACCAGCATTTTCCAGGTCCTTTGTTTTGCAGTTTGGTTCAGGTAGCATGGTCTTTAATAGCTCTCTCTAGTAAAGTAGGTAAGGGAATGCTTTCACATATAAAATCTCATTGGATTCTTATAGTGTCCCTATGAAATAGGTAGGGCAAATATTATTTCCTACTTTTACAGACAAGAAAATCAGCTCAGCGATAGTACATTGCTAGGGATCCCCATGAATGGATGGCAAAATTAGCAGCTGAACCAGGTTCTCCAAGTTCTCAGGTGGTGTTCTTGTCTATGATGACGCATTTCCAAAGTCAGCCTTCCACCCTTATCTTTAAGTTCCCCTAGCCCAGCTGTCATCTCCAGACTCCAGGGCTGGTGTGCTCAGTCCTTAAACCCCTGTCCCAGCTGGAACCTCCTATTCCCTCTCCTTTCAGCCAGACATGGTTAGAGAAATCCATAGGACTGTTTACTTTTAAAACCAAGGGAAGACAAAAACAAAAGTATGCAAACAATGAACCTGATCGAGTAGGTTTCGGCTCACAGGTTTGCCCGATAGGATAGATGGACTCCCAGTCCAGAGATTCTTTCCTTTATCTCCTCCCTGTCCAAGAGGTCATTTACCTTCCTTGGATAATTCTCTTATCTATTTCAGGTCCTTCTTCTCCCTCTAGAGGAGGGGTTAAACTGAATCTCCAGCTATTCTGTTACCAGAGTTATCCATAGAAGGAAGAAATGATTACACTCACCATAGTTGTGTATCGTATCAGTATTGTTCATATGCATCCAAGACGTTCCATCCATCCCGCAAAAGATAAGGGAACACATTCCAAAAACATCCTATGGGGACCCACAGATTACAGTAGAGGGAATTCTCAGGATGGGGAATATGCAGCACTTGAACCTGTCAACTAAGTGGCACCTTTTCCCATATTTTAATTAAAAAACAACAAAAAACTTTTCCACTTTTTTTTTTCATTTTTAAGAGGGATTTCACAAGAAAATTGAAGCACAAAGACATTAAATCATTTACCGGAGATTATATGACTGTTAATGGCAAAGCCAGGATTCAAGTACAGTGTGATTCCAAGACCCATACTTCGAATCACTGCCTTCTTCATGGTGATGATGTCAGAATTAAATGAGCTAATGTAAACTAGGTATCTTGCAGAGTGCCTGGCATATAAACAAATGTTGGCTGTAATATAATATTATTTTTAGCATTGTCATTTGTTCCAAGAGACATCTGGGCCAGAAAACAGGTTTTGACATAGGATATTTTGCATCTACTGCACGTAATTGCCCCAAGGTTTGTGTCTTGCAATTGAACTGATAGGCCTCTGCTATTATCTAAACAATCCGTGTATTATGGGTTACCTGGTTAAGCAATAAGCTAAATGGTTGGCAACTTTTTCATGCTAGAAAGAAATATGAACTCTCTTATAAAAGAATGGAATAATGAGCAATAGCTAGGAGAACTACGGGCAATACCCAGATTCTAAATGGATTATGTTTCAAAAGTTCATTTGTCTATTGTTATAAACGCTGAGTACACAGAAATAGGGTTGCAAATAGGGGTTACATTCCAAGACTATTCACAGAGGTCTATTTATTTAGCACATTTTAAAGCTCCATGATAGAAATCATGTCTTTCCTGGTAAAAAGGAAAGTTGATATAGAGTGTATTAGTTATTTACTGCTGGGTAACAAATTACCCCAAAACTTACCATATTAAAACAATGTCCATTTATTATCTCACAGTCTCTGGGTCATCTGGGAGCGGCTTACCTGGGTGTTTCCGCTCAGGATCTCTCATGAGGTTTCAGTGAACATGGCCAAGGCTGCTGTCATCAGAAGGCTTAACTAGGGCTGGAGGATCCACTTCCAATATGGCTCACTCTCATGGCTGTTGACAGGAGGCCTCAGTTCTTCATCACATGGGCTTTTTCGTGGGGCTGCTCGAGTTCCTCATGACATGCATGGTAGCTCTGGCTTCCCCCAGTACAAGTGATCCTAGAGTGAGAACAAGAAGGCAGCTGCAATGCCTTTTATGACCTAGTCATGTAAGTCATACACTGTCACTTCTGACAGGCTCTATTCATTATGGGCCGTAAGCTATTCATTAACAGCAGCCCACACTCAATGGGAGGGGGAATTAAGTTCCACCTCTTGATGGGAAGCATATCACAGAATTTGTGGACATATCTTAAAATCACCATAGTTTTTGTTGTCCTCCCATCACTCTCTCCAGATACCCAGGGATACAAAATAATTAAAATAAATTGGGATGTAGAACTGCAATGCTTCCCAACAAAGTTTACTGTAAATACTCAAAAAAAAAAAATCCTTGCTCTTGCCTCAACTTTTCTTGAAAACATCTTTCCCCTTTTCTTAAATGAAATCTCATTTGAAGAATTTATACTAAAGATAGCGATCATAGTCCTGAAACATTTGCTTTATTCATTTGTATCATTAGAGTTTGAGGCAGTATAATAAACAATCTACTCCCAAACTGGGTGTATTAAGATATTTGGGGTTAAGAAAGCAACCTTCAGTAAACTCTCTCCATTCTTCTGATAATGACCTGAGTGCCCTGATTATTGAATATTCTGGGTCTTGGGAACCATAAATCTCTGATCCAGGTATCCTAACCTGACTCCCATAGCTGCAGCTCTGCAGGATTATTGTGGGCAGTCAAAAGTGAGGAACCACCCTAGAGTCCAAAAGCTCTTGCACCTGAGGCATGCAAGATTCTAAAGTCTCATCTGAATCTTTGGAGGGAAATGATGCTTTATATGACTTTTTATTGTACTGTTTGTAACTTAAAATTTGGTAGTCCATGTAAACTGTTGTCAAAATACATTTATAAACGATGGATAAACAGGAGTTTGCACTGCAATTCAACTCCAAGTAGGAGTTAGAGGCTTGATCTAGAAGATGATTTCTCCTGATAGTGTTTTGTTGTTGTTGTTGTTTTAAATCTTACTTGAGTCTTAACCCCATTTGAGAATATGATGAAGGTCAAGAAACTTACTGAAGAAAATACATATACTCACAAAATTTTGCACATACGTTTAAGGCCTCCTAAATCCCCTAAAACCCACCCAGGGAATCACGGGGGAAGGGGGAAGTAGTTGTCATTCATTTTGCCATTAAAATTTAGATCTAAATTCGAAGCTACTATTCAGAACTTAATGATTTTAAATGATGTGTTGTTTAGTTAAACAGAACTAAAGGCCAGAACAAATAACTTTTACTAGATTTTCTGTGTTTGTGTTTTAGTCCATATTGTGAATACTTGGAGGCAAAAAGGAACGAGGAGTGAGCACACAGAGAACACCACATATTTGCTGAAAAACATTAGTAAATATATATTAGGACACAACTGCTTACGACCAGAACTTGCCCCTCTCCAAGCTGACCTGACTGCAGCAAATTTTTGCCTACTTGCTCGAGAAGCAGCAACTAGAAAGCGCTACGTTGGTTTTCTGCAGAGCCTCCGCAACCAAGATCCGACCCAAGATTTCCCCGAGGCCCTCCTTGGGTGGAGCGAACTCCCGACCACAACGCTCAGCCCTGGGCGGGACCGTTCGATTCTACCCACTGAGCCCGCGGACCCCGGTTCCATCCGTCTCACAACAAGGGAACGTGTAGGGGCCGTGCCGGAGACGGGGGCTTTGCCTGTGAGTGTCCCTCTGGCAGAGGCGCGCCAGCAGCTAGAGGTCGGGGGGCGCACAGCCTCTGCCCCGCCCCTCGCGGGCGCCCCAGCCCTGCGCTGGGGCCTGCGTGTCCCCACGTCGACCCCTCCCTCGCGCGCTTCGCCCGCGGTCGCTCCGGCGCACGCGCGCGGCCTCGCTCAGGGCGGCTAGAGGCGGCGGGCGCGGGCGCGGGGCTCCGAACCTGTCAGACCCGCGGAGCCGGCCTGGAGCTGCGGGCGCCGCAGGCAAGAGGTCGGCCCCCCTCTCCCGCCGCTCCAGACCGAGCTGTGCGACCCGGACACACCAAGCCTGCCGGGGGCGGGGAGATGAGCGGCGACCCCGCGGCGGCGCCCCAGGTAGACGCACCGCCCCTTCACGGAGCCCCGGCGCTTCGGAGCCGACCCTGCGTCCCCTGCCGCCCCGGGCTTCGGAACTTGTGGGCTCTGATGGGGCGCCTTTAATTTATAACGTGTTCCGTTTTCCACAGGATGGGGAGGGACGCGCGGCGGTGCCATCGAGAACTGGCGCTCCGGTGAAGTAGGAGCTGCCGGCCGTCCGCCTGCACCGAGCCGTACCGCGCCGCGGCCGCCCGGCCTCTGCGATGGCCGGATCCGGCGCGTGGAAGCGCCTGAAATCTCTGCTGAGGAAGGATGATGCGCCGCTGTTTTTAAATGACACCAGCGCCTTTGACTTCTCGGACGAGGTGGGGGACGAGAGGCTTTCTCGGTTTAACAAACTTCGAGTTGTGGTGGCCGACGATGGTTCCGAAACCCCGGAAAGGCCTATTAACGGGGCGCACCCGGCCATCCAGGCCGATGACGATTCCTTGCTAGACCAGGATTTACCTTTGAGCAACAGTCAGCTGAGTTTGAAGGTGGACCCCTGTGACAACTGCAGCAAACGGAGAGAGTTGCTGAAGCAGAGAAAGGTGAAAACCAGGTTGACCATTGCTGCCGTTCTGTACTTGCTTTTCATGATTGGAGAACTTGTAGGTGAGTTGTGTTGCCAACTCACGTGCCATTTCCATTTGTCAGGCTTTAGTTACGCGTGATTTGAGGTTGAAACTTTCTTTTTCAGGAAGCGTGTTATTTATTAAGATACTGATCTCGTGTGATGTGAAAAGGCCACAGTTCCAAAGTGCAGATCAACCTAAGTACAATAGAAACTTACTGTATAATGTCTTCACTGTATATCATGTAACTTCCTCTTTTAAAAAAAAAATCCTGGTAAAACATTAGGTTAATTTTTGCAACGTTCAAAATAGTCAATAATTCTAAAATCACTTGGAATCGTAAAAATTTAAAATATGAAGGGACCTTACTGCTCCACCTTCTTTTTCACATAAGGAACCTGGGGGCCCAGAGAGGTTAAATAAGTTGTAGGAAATTAGGTGGTAATAGAAGAGCCATATCTACAGTTCCAGCTTCCTGATTTTTTTTTCACTGTGCGTTTGACTTAAGTGGTCTCTTTATATTATTATTTTTTTGGATTTCTATCCAAGAGATTTGCAAAATTAACTATTACCAGCTAACCTGAAAGCTTTTCATAATAAGGAGGAACTGAAAGGAACCAGAAAATGGCTCCTCCAGGGTTTATGAACTTGGTTTTATTTTTCATTTTTTAGTTATTTAAGTAA